CACACACACACACACACACACACACACACACACACACAAAACGCGCTGCATGGTTCCATTTATATAACATTCTGGAAAATCCAGGCTAATCTGTAGTGTCAGAAAGCAAATCAGTGATATCTGGGGCCAGTGGAAGAGGGAGGTGTGACCCTCCCATGGGTGTGACCACCCATGACACTCACTCTCAGGTTCTCGACCCTCAGAGATTGTGTGAGACAATAAATGCTAGCTGTGTTAAGCTGCTAGGCTTGGGGGTGATTTGTTCGGCAGCGATCGATAACTACCTCCCATTCACAAAACCTTAAAAGCTGGGTGTTAAATAACAGGTGTCGGTGAGGATGTGAAGAAATGGGAGCCCTCGTGCACGGTTGGTGGGAACATGGTGCAGGTGCAGCCGCTGTGGAAGACCGGGCGGTGGTTTCCTCGAAGAACTGAAACAGACTTCCCATATGATCCAGCAATCCCACCCCAAAGAATGGGAAGCAGGAACCTGAAGAGATATTTGCACCCCTGGGTTCAGAGCACCACTATCCACGACGGCCAAGGGGTAGAGGATCCATCGACAGATGAATGGATAAACAAAATGTGGTCCAGCCACACAATGGAATCTTTTTCAGCGTTAAAAAGGAAAGATATTCTGACACCTGCTACAACACGGATAGACCTCGGCAACGCGTGCTCGGTGGCAGAAGCCGGTCAAGGAAGGACGAACACGGTAGGATTCCCCTTACGCGGGCTCTCTAGGAGAGTCACATTGGTAGAGACAGACAGCAGGTGGCGGGAGGCAGGGGGCCGGGGCCGGGGTTTAATGGGGACAGAATCTCGGCGTTGGAAAATGAAAAGCGTTCTGGAGTCGGACGGTGGAAATGGTTTCAGAACAACGTCAGTGCACTCAATGCCGCTGAACTGCACACTTCACCGCGGTGACAGTGGTAAGTTCTACGTCATGGTATTTTACCACAATGCTTTTTAAAGGCTGGGTGTGTTGGGGCGCCTGGGTGGCGCAGTCGGTTGGGCGTCCGACTTCAGCCAGGTCACGATCTCGCGGTCCGTGAGTTCGAGCCCCGCATCGGGCTCTGGGCTGATGGCTCAGAGCCTGGAGCCTGTTTCCGATTCTGTGTCTCCCTCTCTCTCTGCCCCTCCCCCGTTCATGCTCTGTCTCTCTCTGTCCCAAAAATAAATAAACGTTGAAAAAAAAAAATTTAAAGGCTGGGTGTGA